TATATATATATATATATATAGTACGCCCTAGGGTGTACATACACCCTGGGGTGTACATACACCGTGGGGTGTACATACACCCTGGGCTGTACATACACCAGCTTGGGGTGTATAGGCAGCTTGAGGTGTATAGGCAGCTTGGGGTGTATAGGCAGCTTGGGGTGTATAGGCAGCTTGACTTTTTGTTATCCGCTAAGCGGCAGCCGAAGTATTGCAGGGCGAATCCCCTTCTAAACAAACGCAAAAACAAACGCAAAATATCTAGGGTTTAGGGTTTAGGGTTTAGGGTTTAGGGTTTATATGGGGTCAATAGAACCGGGGCTGGCTCCATGTGCTGCTTCACGCTTGCTATGTACAAGGGTTTAGGGTTTAGGGTTTGGGGTTTAGGGTTTAGGGTTTGGGGTTTAGGGTTTAGGGTTTTACTGTGCATATAATAATAAATTTGTTGTTGGGCGCAACGATAAGCCGCTCGATTGGCTGCGGTGTTAGGTTCTCCACAGCCTGCATCACAAACCCTAAACCCTAAACCCTAAACCCTAAACCCTAAACCCTAAACCCTAGATGCCCGATTGGCTGCGGTGTTAGGTGCTCTACTGCCTGCATCACAAACCCTAAACCCTAAACCCTAAACCCTAGACCCTGATTCGGCCCTCATCCATGCAGCAGCCTAAAAACCCTAAACCCTAAACCCTAAACCCTAAACCCTAAACCCTAAACCCTTTTTACTTTTATCATTTTCAGTTCCTCTGAGCTGAAAAGATAAATCGAATTGCCGCTGGCGACGATCACCACAGATCCGTCTCGAGAAAAGTCTGCACGCAAACCCTAAACCCTAAACCCTAAACCCTAAACCCTAAACCCTAATCTGCTCTGGGCAGCCGTTGTGACGAGGTTTGTAGAGTGCAGGCTGCACACTGTACTCTAGGAACAGTGGATTAGGGTTTAGGGTTTTGCTAGTTCCAATTAGGGTTTAGGGTTTAGGGTTTAGGGTTTAGGGTTTAGGGTTTATCTTACGCAGGGTGGTGTGCCCCTGCTCAGTCAGCTGTAAGGCCGTCTCCGCAACCATCTTTGTATCTTCTCCCGCCTACACGCAAACCCTAAACCCTAAACCCTAAACCCTAAACCCTCTGTGTTGAGTTTCTTGTTTACATTTACTCTCATTCCTGGCTCTAGGATGCATCCCCACACAACCAACCACACGC